TGCATTTTGCAACTGCTTTGTATATTTGTGCTATTACTTATCAATTTTAAACGAAAGCGCAAGGGGAAATTTATCCAGTATAAGCATCTCATAGGTTTAATACGTAATCTTAAATCGTGGTCTTATTTGGTCAATCTGTTTACATATAGAATATAGACCAATAGAAAGATAGATGTAATTTAAAATAATCGAAAAAAAGATAATTTTTTTATAAATTACAAGAACACATGTATATATATATATATACCCAGGTGTTGCTAAGACATTTTTTATAGCAGTTTGTAATTTACTGCAGTTTAACAAAGTAAATATGGATATGAACAAATTAATATGGATTTCACAGAGTATTGCACTAGAGATATAAGTTTAGTCATTAAGATTAGTGTTATATTAAGCTTATTAATAGTTAATCTAAACAATATTTGGAAAACCGAATATTTTGTAAACTTTTTATTTTCGTTTAGGCATGAAGACTCCAAACACGAAGACAAAAGAAGTTATAGAAACGATAGGTAATTCTTAATTGTTTAAATTAATTAATTAATAAATTTTCTAACTTGTTTCATAACATTTTTATGTTACTCATTTAGGGAACGATATTATAGCAGAGACGAAGGTAAGGAGTATAGAGACAGTTACAGAGAGAAAGAGAGACGACATGCTCGCTCACGCAATGTTGACGAAGAGCGGAGCAGAAAAGGTCGTGATCACTCGCATTCGAGGGAGAGGGAAGAACGCAGGAGAGATTCCCATCACAGGTAAGTTATGCAACGATATTTTTTATATGATGCATTCGTGAATTAGATTTGAAAAGTTAATACGTTTTAGGGATGAAAGATCTTATCGAGAATACCGAGAAAGATCCAGAGAACGCTCTCGAGATAGAAGAGACAGAGATAGAGACAGATCTAGGGAACAAAGAGTCCCTATACCGCATTACATTGAACAAATTCCTGTACCGATTTGTTACGGTGTACGTATACCAGTCGCATTGAATCATTTTAAGGTTTATTGGATAGAATACTGACTTATAAATATATAATACTTTATTATATTTTAGCATTTTCCTCCGAGACCAATAATGATGGCACCTTTGGTTCCAATTCGTAGTCAAGTTCCTATGGGAAGTAGTAGACACCCTACTATGATTGGGCCATTACGTCCATTCCCACCAAGATTTATTCCACCGGATGTACATAGACTACGTGCACCTCCAAATCCTAGTAAGTACAGGTTGAAGAACTATTAATGATTGTATAAACGGAGTTTTTATTACTTCACATTTTATACAGGATTTGGACCAATGTTTTAAAATAGTCAATCGTTAGTGATAAAATTATCTTAGATTGTATATATTTCTTCATGTGAGCCAGATTTTAAACTAATCAAGAAGAACATAAATCTTCGTTGCATACGATAGTTATAAATTTAAGATGCGTCTTATTAATGTGTAAAATAGGTTGTTTTATTCCAATTTTATTTTAAGTTATTGTAATCTCCTATTATATAAAACGTCTACGTATTCAACTAAAGGTTTTTACAGATTATACTTGATGCCGATTCATTTATGATTGTGCCAATTTTATTCTTATTACACATTTTTTAAAAATATTTTTGTAATTTCT